TTCAAAACAAATTCACCAGTGACTTCCTTAGTCTTAACAAATACTAAGTGAAACATCTATAAAGCACTCTTATGCTTCAAAACTCGGTACAGAGCCATAACAGAGAATTTGATGAAACGGCCCAGAGCGATTCGATGAAACGGCATTAGATGAAACGGCGTTCGATGAAATGTCAGTTTATTCAGTGAAACGGCGTTCGATGAAATGGCGTTCGACGAAATGTCCGCTACCCGTAAAACACATACTAAAAGCGCAAGACATAAGGAGTTCGCTCCACTTGATTGGTTTATTTTATTATAAAATACGTAAAAAAAGATCCCGAACGCCATGATTGTGCGTTTTTGATGCTGTTTGATTGGCCAAAGCGGTTCATAGCGTCGGCTGACACATTCTTGAGGAGAAACGATGTCCCTCGTTCGGGAGAGCTATTTGAGGTATCCCACGCGGAGTTAAACCGTCATACGCGTACAAAGAACTACGGAGGAATCAACCAGCTCCGACTGATACAACTATTTACGAGAGGATGAATCAAGCAACGTTCATGAATTAATAGTGGTCATTATTGCCGCGCGCGCACCTGACCAAGGAAGCAGCGCGTTCGTGATCTAGCGGTTATAGCGCTTGCCTTGCAAAAAGCCAAGTTTCGATGCTTGGCCGTGGGCACGCGTTTTTGTTGACTCTGTAATGTGATGTTCTGGTATATTCGAGAACCGTGTCGTAAGGGCCTCCGACGAAGCAAGCAGGACTCCTGCAGCCGATATCTGCCTCGACTACGCTCTTCCAGCGGGTAGGAATCAATTTACTTGGACCCAACATGGATTATCGTCGCGACCGATTATCTTACACGATACGACGAGTGCGAAAGCCCTGCCATCGGGAACAGCGGTGGAAGTCGCCAAGTTTTTGTCGAGTCCATCCTCCTTCGACACGGCGCACCTGAAGTTCTGATCACAGATCGAGGATCATCTTCCATGGCACAGCTGACTCAAGAGGTTCTTAGATACAGTCACACCAGCCATCGACGAACCACCGTTTATCATCCACAGGCCAACGGGCTAACGGAGCGACTCAACAAGACGATCGCCGACATGATATCCATGTACGTCGACGTGGAGCACAAGACGTTTGACGAGGTGTTGCCGTACGTTGCGTTTGCGTACAACACAGCAGTTCAAGAAACCACGGGAATGACGCCATTTCAACTGGTACACGGCCGAACGGTCACCGCGATGCTCGACGCCATGCTGCCTCACGTGTTAATCGACGGTTGCAACGAAGAGGCTCAACTGATCGCTCAACGCGCGGAGAAAGCTCGTCAACAGGCAAGAATCAAGACTCAAGGCCAACAGCGAGTTGATGCACGCCGGTATAACCTTCGTCGCCGGGAGGTCCACTTTCAACCCGGAGACCGGGTATGGGTGTAGACACCGATACGGCACCGCAATCTCAGCGAGAAGCTTCGGAAACGCTATTTCGGACCCTACAGGATCATCCGACGCCTCGGCGATTTGAACTACGAAGTTCTTCCCGATGGAACGCGCCCATCCGCGAGACGTGTTGTCCGGCTCAAGCCGTATTACGAATGATAGAACTTTGGACTCTTGTCAAAAAGTGAACTGTGAACTGTGACTCGCGATTCTGCTGTCCATTTGTTGTGGATTTGTTTCTTTGGTTTTGTGCTGCATCGGGACGATGCATTTTTTAAAAAGGGGGATTACTGCCGCGCGCGCACCTGACCAAGGAGGCAACGCGCTCGTGACCTTTTCTGCTTCCACCGCTCGCCCGAGACGAACGCAGGATGCTGAGCTCCGTTGGAGCGGTAGCAACGGCCGATACGTTCTGCGGTATATCTGTTTCTGGAGATCCAACTAATTACAAGATTATTTTGCCTCCCCTGCCTGCCGGATACATCGTAATTAATGCAGTTTTCCCGCACTGCGACGTACGCAACCGCCCGTACCGAATTCAAGACTTCAAACACGAGCTGGAGCGACTGGATGTCCTTCAAGAATTGGCGTCGGCGGGCGCCCACCAAATGAATCACGTTTAGATGCTACGTCTGCACTTACTCGCCGCAAAGCAGCGTTTAGTGGAAGCGAAAGAACTGCAAATCAAAGGGGAGCGTTACCTCGTGCTCGATCCTACCAACGCGGAAGTCAAGGCTAAACAGCATTGGGTTCCCTACGACGTCCCCAACTGCCAAGTACGTAAAGAACCCGGGCGCTTAGCTAAAGTGTCCGACATCAGCAGAGACCACTTCCGCGAAAAAAAGGTTTGAGACCGTGGAAACGAATACGCGGAGTGCGGAATGACGCTCAAAAAAGGAGTCACTGTGGACGGCGTCCCGCATGAGATTGTTGTCGACGGCTGCAAGGTCCTCGTCTTCATACCTGGTAGGGCCCCCCTATGCCTTAGGTGTAGACACAAAGGACACATCAGAAGGGACTGCCACATTCCCCAATTTAAGGAGTGCCGCCAGTTCGGTCACGAAACCAGCGATTGCGTCCGTACTTACGCGTAAATCGCTCAACAGCGGAAAGACGAAGAGTCGACCGAATTTCTGATGGATGAAGTAGAGGCAGAGGCTGCGACGGGAGGTGCCGGGCCTCCGCTTCCAATCGCCAATGACGGCGGCGGTGACGCCTCTATTGGGAACCAGGACAACTTTGGGGAGAGTTCTCAGCCCAGTCAGCCAGAGCAAGCAAAACAGGCGACCTGTAACAAGGAAAATAGGTTCATTTGTCCCCCAAACCACTGCATGCGCGTGCAAAATTCGGGATGAACATTGTGAAAGATAAGGATACCCTAGACAGTGAGACTTAAGTTGCAGAACCCATGAACATCGACGTCAACCAGACGGCGAAGCGACAACGAGACCAGACAATACACAAGGCCTCACCCGATGACACGATCGGTGGCGAACTACCGGGGCAAATGCAGGGATCCAAGAAAAGCCGTGTCGTGAATCGTAACCAAGCCTCGAGACCTTCGGGACGACCGCAAACGTGAAGACTCGTAGTGTGTGTCATTCACAGAGCCTTTTCGGGGTGATGGGCAGCGTGAAAAGGTAATCTTGGGTGAGTTTGACAACACAACATCACGCTCGAACCTATCGCGCTTATTCGATGTGCCACCTTAAATGTCACGAAATTAAATCCCCCCCCCCCAACACACAAAAAAAGAAAAAAACAAACAAAACAGTATCAACCTCCAACGACTACTCAGTGACGAAACTATAGGCATTCCAGCTCTTCAGGAAACTAAAATTGACGGTAGTGAACAGATTCAATATGCCTTAAAACCTTTTTTGAAGAGGTATGAAATATGTGTCATTCAAGCCACTGGAGTGTCGGCAGGGTGTTTTTGTTTCTCGCGAAAACATTTAGCCTGACCGATTTAAAAACCACGACAGATGGCCAAGGAAGACTTGTTCTTGGTGATTTCAGGGTTCAAAATCAACTGTGGCGTGTGCTTTGCATTTGTGCTCCTAACGCAGTTAACGAGAGGGAAGCTTTCTTTCGCCATTTAGAACATTACTTTAATTGTGATTGGTATATTGTGTTACTAGGAGACTTTAACTGTGTGTGTAACCCAGAATACAGGTCATCAGCAATTTCACGAAACGACAGAAGCGTGCAATTTTTGAAGTCCATGTTAGAAGAGTGTAAGCTGGAGGACGTCACCGAAATGCAAAGTTTGCGAAGCGATTTGAGATTTACTTACTTTCAGCTATCATCACATGCTCGGTTAGACAGGATTTGTTTCTACAGAAATTAGCACATGCACCACGGGACACTCTGTCAAAACGATCTTGTCAGCGATCACTGCCTCGTAGCTGTGATTGACGGTGAAAGAGGAAAGGCGACACGAAAGTTCAACTGGAAACTATGCAAATTTAATGTAACGCTGCTAAAAGACGAAATGTTTACAGATGGCGTTAAAAACCTTCTAAAGAAAGTGACTGAGGATTGTAGTATAAGTTATATGGAGAACGGGACTTTTTTTAAACAGGAAGTTACATAGAATGGTCGTCTATTTTGAACTACAGTGCAGCAAAGGAAAAAAAAATGATCCAGCAGCGTTGACTAGAACTCCTCAAGGTCGGGGAGTGATAAGCCAGGGGGACGGCTACTGAGGTAAATCAAGTGAAAGCCAAACTTCAAGCTTTTCAAGATAAAAAGTATCGTGGAGTAGTAGTGCGGGAAAGGGCCGAGAGGTTTCTTCTTGGGGAACAGCCCACGAAACGTGCGCTAACTGATGAACGAAAGTTTGTGCTAGCAAAAGAGATTTCTGCCGTGGAACTGAACGGCGCTGTCATAAATGACAGAGATGGCATTGAAAGGGCATTTGTGACGTACTATAGCCAGCTGTTCAGAGGCAAAGATATGCCTATGGACATGACAGCGATCAAAGAACTACTCCAGATAACACCAGAGGTATCGCAACGTGTGAAAGAGTGGATAGAAGAACCCATCACGTTGACGGAGATAGAAAGAGCCATCGAAGGCCTCGCCACCCACAAAACGCCTGGTCCTGACGGTCTCTGCGCAGAGTTTTATCAGCAATTCCGCGCCCAAATTTTCCACTTTTATTACGAAGTTATACGTGAAGCTTACGAGCTCAAGGCACTACCACCGTCGTTCTTACAATCGCATACAGTATTGATACCTAAATTTAATGACGTTCTGGTCGAGAGTGCACATCGATTATGCAAGACCAGTTGAGGGAAGGATGTTGCAAATAGTCGTCGATTCCCATTCCAAATGGATTGAAGCTTGCTTCATGTGATCAACGACGGCAGAGGCGACGGTGAATCAACTCCGAGAACTGTTCAGCAGGTTCGGTCTGCCCAGAACAATCGTTTCTAATAATGAACCTCAGTTCAGCAGTTCATAGTCAGTCGTATTCCCTCCCCCCCCCCCCCCCCCCCCCCAGGAGATCTGCCTTCGGACCGGCGGTTCAAAACTTGCCCGTGTTCGAGGTTGTACCATGTAGTACACTTATGCCAAGTCCAGGTCCTCGCCCTCTGACGCCGTCGCAGCTGCAATCGTCGAGCTTGGTCGTCCTGCAGTTGCAACGTCATGATGCGCCCCACATTCCTTCGCGAAATGGCCTTGTCTGCCGCATCGGAAACATCTGGCGAATCTGTGCCGACACGCGTCTCGTGCATGTGAACTGTTTCCGCATCGCTCGCATTCTTCTTTTCTTGTATTGTACCTCCTTTCCAGGACTGACTGTTTTCGGGACTTCCCGGCTATTCTGTGTAGCTCCGCTTCATTTTTCACCTCCTGGCTTTCCATGTTTTTTACTTCCTGGCTTTCCATGTTTTTTACCTCCTTTGTGGCTACCTCTGCCGCGGTCGCCAAATCTTCTGCCTCTGCCAAAGTCAGTTCTCGCCTTGCCAGTAGTTGACGTTTGACTGTCTCGTTCCGCACCCCGCAAACAATGCGGTCCCGCAGCATGCGGTCCAAGCTGTCTTCGAAATTGCAGTTTTCAGCGATTTTCCTCAGTTTCACGATAAAGTCTTGCACCGACTCGCCTTTCCGCTGTTGACGATTGAAAAACTTGTAGCTTTCCGCTATTTCGTTAGGCTTGGGCACGTAGTGTCGACCCAGGATGTCGACAACTTCCTTGTACGTCAGTTCGTTGACCCTTCGAGGCGCGCATATTCCGCACAGTATTCCAATCGGCCTGGAGCCGAGCGCGGCTACCAACAGTGCGCGCCTCCTCTTGTCTTCGATACTAGCATTTCCTTCAAAGTAGGCTTCAACTCGAACAACATAAGTTTCCCACTTATCTTCTGCGTCGTGGAAAAAGGGAACTTGAAACGCCGTGGCCGCAGTTGCCATTTTTGGGCTGTCCTTGCTTGTCGTGCCCGTTGCGTGAGTTCAGCTCGTCGCCACTGTTACGTCTGTGCTGCCATCCGCCGTTCGGCCCAGGCGCGACGCGATTATGACACAAAGGCAGAAGGTGATAGCATTAAGTAACGTTGATTATAAGATATTTGCAAGCATTTTATCACGACGAATCCAGCATGTAGTGTGCGATTTAGTAGGGGGACCACCAGACATGTGGAATCGAAGGTAGGACAATTCAGGCCAACATTTATATAGCACGAAACATTCTTGAAAGCTCAAATGATGGAAGTAGTCAGGTGGCGATGATACAAATTGACCTGGAAAAGGTGTTTGACAAAGTAAGCCATGGAGTACTGTGGGAGATTTTGGCTAAAGCTAATGTAGAGAAAATTATCTGCGAGAAGTTAGAATGGCGTACGAGGGGTGTACCTCGCGGCTCGTTATAAATAATTAATTGTCTGAAAAGATAAATGTATGGTCCTCCGTGCGACAGGGATGACCTCTGTCACCCTTGTTGTTTAGTCTCTACCTTGAGCCTTTTTGTTTAAGTGTCATAAAAAGCGAACATGTAAGGGGGTTTAAAATGAGCAGCATGGAAGTGAAAGTTTTAGCGTATGCTGACGATATTGCCGTTTTTTGTAGGAACAAAAACAGTTTGAGTAATGTTCTAGAATGCTGGGGTGTGGTATATTCTACGGGTGCTGCACTGCGTTCGAAGTAGCATCCAAAAGATGCATAGAGTTTTTGCTCTGTTCATATAGAATTGTGCAAGTGAACCCATGCGACGGGATAATCTGTTTTTAAGTCCTTCGAAGATGGACTAGGCTGCTACACTTGTTGATCCGACAAGTGGTTTCATGCTTCTTGTATCTACGAGATCCAAAACATCCGCTATTGCAGGTAATGTTTTATAAAGGCTCACGAGCCATATTCCAACCTTTCTTGTGAGCTAGTCCATCGGCCCCTTGCAAGGATGGTTGGGTTTGTAATAGAGGTTGTTGAAGCTTTTAGATTTGTGAGTGCCAGGCTCTTTCTTGATTATATCTGGCTTCGGCTAGTTGAAGAAAAGTGCACCGTGATTTGATTGATAACGTATTTCCACTACCAGTGTATCATGTGACGTATGGAAACGCGCCAGGCCGGGATGTCTTGACCCGAGTGAGGAAAATGGCAATACCTCCAACAACAAAGTCTTCCTTTTTTTGCTTGCACACTGGTACTCTGCCAGTGAAACTCTGGCTTAGAGAAAGAGGTATCATAGTTCCCGGTGGTGTAAATTGCCCTCTTGGTAAAGAACCTGAAACGATTGAACACTCTTTTCTGTACGGCTGGAGCCATCTTCCATTGGGATGTGTTGAAAAAAACTAAAAAAAAAAGGATTTGTGTATAACGTCGTATTCAATACGCTTCCTTACTATCGAGTCGCAGGGTTGTGTTCCATACGACATGATTGTGGTTATTTCACTTTTCAATCTGGGGAAGTCCCGTATGTCCGTCAGACATGCTGAGCAGCCCCCAAAATCGGCGCACCTGTTTTTCATTGAGTTGATTGTTTAAATTAAGAGTGTGTATGAGTACAACCAGTCCTTGTTTGAACGGGCAAATATTTTAAAAGCCTTGTGAAAATTAAAGAATTTTAATTGTGAAACTGCCCGAAAGTGCCGGGCGAGTTGCTTTTTAATACATGCTTGTAAATACGGGCTGAATAAAGAAAAAAAAAAAAAAAAAAAGCGCGCTCGTGGCTTATCGCGCTTGCCTTCCACGCAAAAAGCCAGAGTTCGATGCCCGGCCGCGGGTACGGATTTTTGTTGACTCTGCAATGTGATGTTCTGGGCCCGTTTGCTCGAACCACTAACCGCGGCTAAAGTTAGCCGCAGTACCTAGGAGAGGGATTTTCAGATCACGTGACTGGCTCGGTAGGGATGTGGGGAAGCATGGCGGTGCCCCAGTGAGTGAGCGCCGCTCGCTTTGGAACTAATATGTCGTTGTGGTTGCAATATCGGGCGCGTTAGGCCCGATATTGCTTTCGGAGGCTTTCGCTTTGCCTTACCTCACTTAAACCGCAAAGCATGGGCAATGACATCGCCGCATTTTTTAGATAGTGTTTCGATTCTGGGCACTCCTAAGCCTAAATGAACGCGATAATTGATGGCATAGCAACGTCTTTGGAAAGCGGATTGTTGATAGCAAACAGAAGCAGACGGCGTCCCAACAGACCTTTTTTCTAAATTATCCAAGCACCGAGGTGCATGCTACGACTGTAGTTGCACGCGTCGCACGTGCTGGCGTCTGCAGTAGTAACCGTTCTAAAGGAAAAGGTATAAAACAAATTTTGCCTTGCACGCGCGTTCGTTAAAGCCTTATTATGATTATTTACTTCAAATCTTTTATAAGAGGAAGGCCAGCGCACGTGGACCGTAGAATTACACTTCCAGCGTTCTCCTCGCGATGCTTGGATAATTTAGAAAAGGTCTGGGGACGCTGTCTGCTTTTGTGTGCTATCAACAATCCGCTTTCCAAAGACGTTGCCATGCCGACCATTATCGCGTTCATTTAGGCTTAGGAATGTCCACAATCGAAACACTATCTAAAAAATGCGGCGATGTCATTGCCCATGCTTTGCGGTTTAAGTGAGGTAATGCAAAGCGAAAGCCTCCAGAATTATTCGTTGCTGACTAACGCGCCCGATATTGCAGCTAAAACGACGTATTAGTTCCAAAGCGTGCGGCGCTCACTCACTGGGGCACCGCCATGTTTCCCCACATCCCTACCGAGCCAGTCACGTGATCTCAAAATCCCTCTCCTAGGTACTGCGGCTAACTTTAGCCGCGGTTAGCGCTTCGAGCATACGGGCCCAGGTAAATTCGAGAACCGTGTTGGCTTGTTGTAGGTCAGAATGTTCTACGTGCCGAATCTTCTAGGCCCATTGCTCCAAAAGCCCCGCGTGTACAAAAGGGGCTCCGCGTGGCGAGCCGGAGTCAGTCTCGGCCCAGCGTTCGACTTTAACGCTCGCAACGCTCTGTTGTTATCGTCTATCATCTTTTTTGTTTTGGGCACAAGTTTGCCACATTAAACGTTTATTTATTCCTGATTATTTATAGTTCTTTTGGTCACAACACGTGACAATATGATAGGACACATCACAGCGAAACATCTGACGATAATAACCACGCGATAAATGTATAAAACTTGGTTATTCCACTTGTACATTAAAATATTGGCTTCCGGGTGGTACTCAGATATGGTAAACCAAGGTGTAAAGACTGCTTAGACAGGAAATTGGGCAGAATAATAAAATACCACGGCTAAAAACTACGAACTGCGGGCCAAGCAGCGATCTTTTTCGGTGTGCGCCCTCGACGGCGTCTTCAGACTCTGCACGACTCTAACCAAACCTTCGCCTCCAGGTGAACGTCGCGCAAGTCTAGGTAAATCGCGTCATTTCTGTTTTCCACCGTATTTTTTCACAAAGTACGAAACAGACTTACCCATCAGGATGTATAGGGGAGGCCAAACAGCCGGATCCTGTTGAATGTAGCGCACCCATCTGATCGGATCCACCAGGATCCCGTATCTATAGAATAAAAGAATGCGTGCGAAAAACGCTGAGGTACAAAGTTTGCGTCATGAATGGGGAGCGTCGGGCTCATCCTCCTGTAGATGTTCGCGGGACGTGCGGATATTGCGCAGATGTCTTTGAAACATACGTGAGAAATTGAACCGTTTTCTGTGCGCCCAACGAAGCGTGCGTTCTCTCGGGGACATCACAATTCAAAGACCTATGACCGCGAAGCAGAGGCGACGGACGAAAGAAACACACGGCTGCCGTTCGTGGATCTTGTTTACAGTTCGTTAATGTTTGCTTTCGTTTACTTTTCGCGTTGTTCTGTCTTTGTGGGTCGTTTGTGTGTGCTTAACTTTTTATATCAAGCAGAAAATGTTGACCAATACGCGAGTCTGACATTCTGCATGCTGCAGCGGACTGAGATGGCTCAGACGCTTCATGTCAAGCAAAGCTGGCACATGCACAATTCTTACACTTGGTGTGGGAACACGCGTTGTTGTTTGTAAACAGACAACAGGACCTCTCGTTTTAGGTCGCGGCTCATTGCAGGTCGTACAATTTCACGCGAAGGCGTAGTTTGCCGGTATCTTTTTCATACCAGAGTAGCTAAGGTAAATATAACCCGGTCTCGTGAAGGAAGGACAAAAAAGAACAAGAGGATACAAGAATGATGCAGCACTGCTCCCGGACCCGTGTTTACATCCGTTTAATTCGCTTATTCTACGGGAAGTTTAAAGATTTATGATGCCATTCTCCGACCTTTCCCATCCTTGTGCGTCCGCGAAAAATGAAACATGCTTCAAACTGATGGTGTCCCTAATGCTGACCTCTGACGTTTGAAGGTGATTTGAGCGTTTAACAAATAGGCAATTACTCACATTCTTTCGTCGTGCTCATATTTTTATATATTTTACTAGGAAGCCTGCATTGCAGCGAGACATTTTAGCAGAGCTAGCTTGTATTGCAAAAATCCATAAAATTTAACAGGAATATCTCTCTCTCTCTCTCTCTCTATATATATATATATATATGTGTGTGTATATAACTGAGAAGAAAAAAAAACCCTAGGTGAAGACGGCAACGACGGACGGTTTATTCTTCGACGTTTCGGTCGGACTCCGGCCGAAACGTCGAAGAATAAACTGTCCGTTGTTGCTGTGAAGTAAAAAACGACTTTACATGTTTGCAGGAATGGCTCCTGTGCGCTAAAATTTTGAGCGACGCTCGCGCCACGTAACGTTTCCGCCATGCTGTGGTGCTCAAGGGGTACGTCATTGGGGTGCGCGATGATAAGACGCCGGCGTCTGGTATATTGCCGACGGCCAGCGTTAGCGACGCTTCCGGAACGCAGAAGGTATCCACACAGAATCGTAGCATCCAATATTGTATACGGGGCATGTTTAAAGGAGCGGTGCATTATATTCGATTGGAATGTTTTTCACTTTACACGAGCTTACTGGCACTAGTGGGGCTCAAGGATACTCGCACGCAACGCCACTGGCCAAGAAACTCCTTTGTTGCGCTGTAATTTCAAGGAGAAAAGCGATCATTTTCATTCAATCTCTCATTTGCTAAACTTGGTGACGTAACGTGGGGATCGCAGTACACCCCAATGACGATATTTGAATGCGGTTCATAGATTGGACCCGAGCATTGCGTGGGCACTCGATTTAGGCTCGTTTTAATTACCAGCTCGAGAAGAATCCGGGTAGTGGCCCGTGTCCAATCGCTTCAACCACGACAATACCCGAGACATAACAATGTCTGGAACTCAGCGCGTGTCCTGCGCTTTGCCAACCCCAGCGCGTGGCTATGATCAACACTGGCGGCATATAATCGGCTCCAGATCACGTGGCCGCTTGTTCTGGCTGCGAATTGAGGGGTTGAACGCTGATCGTTGTTCTTTAAGTTTTTTCTAAGACTTCTATTGCGTGGCGTGAAAAACGAACGCGTGTTTCATAGGTCATTAACGTCAGGGATCCGTTCTAAGCGGTATTTGTGCAAAATACAAAACTTGTCGCATCGCCTCTTTAAGGGTTGGTGCTGACTTCATAACGATCGCTGCCTCTCTTCAGCGCGTCGTGGAACCCAGAGCTGCCGCGAGCGCAGCCATCGTTGATCCAATGGCCATGCTGCTTCTGGCACATTCTGATGAGCGTTTTGAGACTTTAATAAGTTTTAAAATTTTCTATTTGTTTCTGGTTTGGGTATTTTCTTTAATTGTATGTGCCCTTTCCCGGTCGCAGGCAACACCTGTACGTTTTATAAATATACATATATATTTAATTTCTTTCTGCTCTTACTGTAAGGCGCTTGACAACATTGCACGACAAGCAGCGAACGTCCTTGCTGGAGAGTAGGTCCGCCTCACCTCACGCGCGGTTCGAGGTTAAGCCGGGATTCTACTTACAAAGGTGCGATGTCGGTGACAAGTTAAGAGTAGAGGGTGAGGGAAAGAAAGGCTGGGGATTAGGAAGCAGATGGATTGCTGGAGAGAAGAAAACACCCTCCTCCCTTCACCATTCCACGTGCTTCCTCCTCCCCAGCCTTCCTTTCTCTCGCCATAAATTTTTAACCTGCCAACGACTATAGAATAAAAAAAAAACTGCACAGAAGGCATTAAAGACACTGGATTGAACAGAAGTGCATCAGCACAACTGGAATATAAGAGGCAAAAATAAAAAAAAGCTGGGAAACTCAAAGTACTATCCATGAAACACAAGCCGAAGAACTATTTATACACTATTTTAAAAACATGTCAAGAATACACTTTTAGGCAGCCTATTCCACTCTTCAATAGTTGTCGGTAAAAGAACAACAAATTCGCGTGGCATAAATACGGTCGGAGTTTGTTCGGGTGGTCCGTTCTTCCTGATATCTAAAACGGTTCCAGTAAAACATATCCCTACTTATCACGAGTTCATTCTGATAAATGTCTCCTATAAGTTTTAGACTAAAATATTTGCTTCGTTCACAAACCAACTCCAAATGTCGGGCCTCGTTCATGCTGGTAACGCCTGCCTCATGTTTCATGTTTAGATGCTTATTGCTATACCAAGCTAACAAAATACTACTATCACAATCGCCATTTTCTAACCGGGCCCGATCTCGCCACCTTGCATCGCTCCTGTTGACTTCCAAGTGACGAAGCAGAGCTGCTATGGCAACGGCCTTCGGCTGCTTTTTGCGGCCAACGCGGTGTACGGGAATTACCTGAGGATGTTATCGAGGACGGATATGCTGTGGGACAGCACCTGTAAGGAAAAATGCGATTATTGAAAAGGATAAAGATTCGTTCCTGAAAGGGGGGACTAAACTACTTTCTGGGATAGTTTATTTATGGTCATAACTCAATCTATGGGTTTTAAGCATTAATAAAAAACCAGAAAAAACATCACATTTATCTGTCGCTGACACCAGATTGTGCCATGCGACGAGAAGCAGAGAAGCCCCTCATTTCGTTCATTGGAGCCATCTGGTGTCAGCGCTAGTTCCGAAGTAATTGATCTTTGAAACCGATTTTAAGGGAGAAATCGGCCGCGCACGAATGAAACGCTTGATCTTTTTAGGATGCTTAATGCCCATAGATTGATTTATGACCATAAGGGGACTATCGCCAAAAGTGGTTTAGTGCCCCTTTAACATCTTCAAACTCGCACACTCGGGCGTGGTCCACGTTTCTCACACTCAGTAGTCGAGATCAGCCTTCAACGAAGATGAGCGACGTGTACGATGGATACCATCCTGAGTATGAGGATACCAAATAAGTGGACTAATAATTTTTTTAATTTGGCATGGGACCACCAAGAGGTTTGATGATCATGGTTAGTCATCTAATAACCTTGAAATTCAAAATATTTATTTTCTTTCCACTCGGAGAGGGGAGGCCGAGAAAAGAACAACTCAGTGTTGCTTGACAGGCCTCAACCCCATACAGCAGCAGAGGGAAAAAGCACAAGCACGCACACATACATACACACATAATATATATAGCATTATTAACATAATTACACACAAACAATAATAATATTAAAGATAGCCAGGAAAAAAGGAGCTAAATTGTACAATCACTTCATGCTCTAAAAACGAAGAGAAATACTTAAGAAAGCCCGCAACAAAAACAGAACGCACCTCGTTTCGATTCCCACTCAAAATGTGTATGCTCAATTCACTAACTACAACAACTTAAAAGACGCGGTAGTGTGGATCTGAACATTTAATTGCCGTAATTGGTACTGGAGAGCGGTACTGACAACCATCGTGCCCCGAATTCTATTGTGCTTGAACGAACGAACGAATGAATGAATGAATGAATGATTGAATGTATGTATGTGTGTGTAGCGGTGTATGTATATATGCATGTATGTATGTATATGTGTATCTATATGTATGTGTGTATCTGTATGTGTATATATGTAAGCATGCAGGCATGTATGCATAGATGCATGTATGTATCTATGTATGCATGCATGGATGCATGCATGTTCGTTTGTATGTATGTATGCATGCATGCATGCATGTATGGATGCGTGTATGCTTGCATGTATCGATGTATGCATGCATGTGTATAATATAAGTGTGTTAGTATTACGATGATTCAATGTTGATGTGATTTAAAGTGAAGATAGATAAGGTGACAGACAGCACGACCGTTCTGGAAGGCGAGCTCAAAACGTCACGACCTTCCGCGCGTTTTCTTCACCAAGCGTGCGCTTCGTCCTCCTCTCTTCCTAACAATACCCTCCCTGTCGGCGGAGATGACGCTCATTTGGCGGTTGTTGTTGAAGCGATGTTTATTAGAAAATCGAAGTTGTTGTTCGTTGCGCTTTGGGCCCACATGTCACTGTCGATGGGAAAGGGAAATAGGAGAAAAAAAATGAAAGCCGTTTACAACTCCCTGTAACGCCGAATTAGAGCGCAGCTCTTGAGGAGGAGGAGGGAAGGGTATTGAAGGGGGGGGGGTCATGTGACCTCGGGCGGTCACGTGACCTTGACGATGACGATCCGATGACGTCATCAGCGACGTCACAGATGACGTCATCAGTTATGATGACGATGACGATGCGGATGCCAATGACGTCATCAGTGACGATGACGATGCGAATGCCGATGCCAATGACGTCACCAGGTTGCCTGCAACCTGGATTGCATGCAACAGGTTGCATACAACTCGTTGCATTCCAGTTGCATGCAACAGGTTGCAGGCAACCCAGGTTGCACGCCAGCTGCATGCAACAGGTTGCATGCAACCTGTTTTATGCAACTCCCGAAGGAACCCGAGGTCCTCCCGAAGGAACCCGAGGTCCCCCCGAGGTCCTCCCGAAGGAACCCGAGGTCCTTTCGAGGTCTTACCAAAAAAAACCCGAGGTCCTCCCGAGGTCCTCCCGAAGGGACCCGAGGTTCTCCCGAAGGACCTCGGGTTCCTTCGGGACGACCTCGGGTTCCTTCGGGAGGACCTCAGGTCCCTTCGGAAAAATTTACCCATAATGAACCGCGCGTTTACGCCGACGGCGATGACGACGCCGCTCAAGCCGGAAACGGGCGCCTAAGAGCTGCGCTCTAAAAAGAGACAGAGGAGTAGGAGCGGGGAAGGGGGAAGGGAATCTCTTCAGAGTGTTAACTTTTTCACGGTTTTTGGTACAGAATCGTGATTCCTGGAACTCCTGAAAACCTCTGGATGTAAGATCTCCACGAGCTCCAGGAGCCGCAAGCAACCCAGGTCTCTTGGAGGTCTTAGAGGATCTTGAGGAGTTCCGCGCTCCTCAGGAACCTGACTACACTCAATTGAGTGCCTTGTCTGTAGTAGCGCGTGACGCTCTTGGACGCAGGAGTTCCTCCAAGTTTGAACTAGGTAGCCCTAGGCGGGAAAAGGCATCAATGAGGTTGGTGCACTCCTTTTCATGATCAGTGCAGGGCAGGAGGAGATGTTCGGCGGCGGTCGTTTCCTTGCAGGTCTGGCATATAGGGTGAACATTGAGTGTGACGCGACTTTTCCACGCCGGGGTGAAAACGCTTCCAGTCCGTAATCTGTAAAATACTGCAACAGTTTGGCGGTCGAAGCCGCGCGGTATAAGAGTTGGAAAGGCACCCGCCACCACTACCGGATCCGGGTGCTGTAGAGCGATGTCTCTTCTCACAAGGAGCTTGGCGTCTGAGAAGTGGGGAACGGTTGAGAGCGGGCACTTGGGGTTTTTGTGAGCCTGCAGCGCCAGAATATCAACGACGTCATTCCCTCTAATGCTGCAGTGGCTTGGGAGCCATTCATTTGGCGGCTGGGGACGAAGGGTGGTTGCGGTGGTTAGGCGTCCAGGCGGTAATAGGGCCGCAATCTGGCGACATGCACGATGTCTGACGCGCAGGTACGACGATCTCGTGGTTGGGAAACGAGAACAACTTCGTACTTGGAGGCGGGCAGTTGACGGATGACGCGGAAGGAGTCGATGAGCTCCCGTTGGAATTTTTTCACATTTTCTTACGGTACTAGAACGTGACCCTAGGAGTACCTCGTCACCAATTCTGTAATCCACTGGTCATTGAAATTCATGGTGGCGCAATGTCTGTTGTTGCAGCGACTGAGACGTGTGGATGCGAGCGAGTTGACGGTGTCTTTGGCGTGGGATACAATATCGGCGTGATAGGGGAGAACGTAGGGGAGGACTGTGTCAAGTAGCATGAGAGATCCTGGGGCATACAGAAAGTAGTGCGGTGGGTAGCCGGTGGTTGATTGTCGAGCCGTATTATTTGCATATGTGATGTACGGTACGGCGATGTCCCAGGTGGTTTGTTTTAAAAAACATGCATATAAAGGGACAATGAAACGATTTTGAAATCGGATTTCATCCACCACACGTATATAAAGGGAGAATGAAACGATTTTGAAATCGAATTTCATTCACCGCACGTCGTAAGAGGTGTGAAAAAAATAGAGGCAATTTTTTTGTTGTTATAGAACTTTGAAAAGAAAAGCGGACTCTTTTATACCTTCTTTCCTTCAAAAGCTCTCTGCGTTTTCAATGCAATGCATCCGCGGTGCCAAGGCTTATCAGACAAATCCACGTCGCCTATTGGATAAGGGACATACCTCACCAGCACCGTGATCATAAACAATAAATTGCGGGCGAATGTTTCTTAAAAGTTCTGTTCAAGAATATTCTGATCCACATTTTGTTGAATAATTAGCGATGTGACGAAATTGCCGAATTTTATAATGCTTAGGGTGCCTACATGTCTGTCTGTCTCAGGGTGAAGACATCCATTGTTGCCCTGAATGTGCCAGCGCGTTACGCTCTCGAGCACTCGGTGCGTGGCTTGGGCGGTAAAATGGCGTCTATGCATTAGCCAAAGGTACGCGCTCGAGCTGAGTGACACCGGATTGCGCGCACTTCAAAATGCATAAAAAAACGATAGGGCGGAAAAATGGCTGAGATGTCACCACTCAAGCAAAAGCGCGTGTGTATGAAGGCACTCTAATAATGCTCGGAGCTATGCGCCATCTATCGTGTGGTAAACGAAGCAAGCGAAGGATAAGACTGCACCTGCGCTGTCGCTCTCTGCTGAAACAGATGGCGTGGGTGGTGATCGTTGACGTGGTCGGCGTGGTGGAAGATCATCGTTCCGGCCTAGAGCGCTATCTTTGACTGAATTCTCGTCGCGTGTCGCGATAATAACCCAGCACGTCTTAGAAGGGAAGATCCATCTACTCGTGCGGTCATGTTGTGGCGGCACCCTCTAGACAGCAGAAATGTTCGTGCCGTCGTCTTTGTTTACATCGACTACAGTGGTGCTTTCTTGGCATTTGTATCCTCGAACATCGCCCGGATTTCATATTTTGCGCATTCCATGCCTGTGCTGAAGTTCAATATATTACTGGTGCGTACTGTATTTAAAGGCGCGTATGAAGAATGCGAATTTCGACACGTTTTCATCACCCGAGAAAAGTGATTAGTGGTGGCATTCCTTGAACGATCGCAACGCCTATTTGATCACGAAATAATATTTTGTACGTTGCCATATCTCTGCTAAGATTACATTGCCTTTTGCAATCTCAGAAAAGGTGTGTGGCAAGATTTGTACTATCAGTAAAGTCATGTTTTATAGTCGTGATCGTCTAAGACGGCGTAGTGCATATTTTTCTTTTCTTTTTTCATCCACTCTGCCGTGCGAGCCTGTCCTGAAAAAAATAAAAGTTAATAAAGCTTGAACCCGTAGAAAACTCTCTGCATTTTCTGCTACGCCAGTGAGTG